GAAACCATTCATTCTTATATCTTTAAAATTCAATGGGCCTTTCTTGGGTGAATACAAAGCATCAGATATCTCTAGATGCATGCCCTTTAAGCAGCAATGCATTGTCCTGGACGTAGCCTTTTATTTGACTGACTATACCTACAAATATATTGGTGTAGACTTTAAGTCTTAAAATCATGGATTCGTTTTATTAAGTTTAACTCAGACAAGACAATAGTAATAAAAATAAATTCAAAGGAGGTAATACAAAGACAACATAAAGCAAAGCAAACACAAAAGCAGTATGTCGAAATCAACTTATTCTTTTAAACAATCAGATATTTCATATTCCATAAGATCATTTTGATCATGGTAAGAGTCATTTTTGCCATCTTGGTGGACCAAATAGGCTTCTGGATTCTTCCCTTTCTGAGTCTCTTAATAGAGGGCACAAAATGTCTGGGAGTCATACATGTCTTAACCCAATGATTCCCCGTTCCACATCTATGGCACACTGATTTGGTCGAGTGTGGTGGTTTAGAAATACCACGCCTCTGCCTCGACCACGGCAAAAGGTGGGTTGATACCCATGGCCTCTGCCATAGTGGTTCCAAACGGCCAAAATAATGGTGGTGGCCGCGGCCACGTCCTCTCCATCCACCATGGCCATAGCCGTGTGGTCTATCACTCTGTACGTGGTTACTTTCTTTAGATTCTATCTTTACCTCTGCATCCTTATTGTCTTCATGTAATGGGGTTGATCCAGGTTATTTTCTGACCAAATTGTTTCAATTTAGAAACTATCTTAAATAGAGCTGAGTTATACTCTTCCACGGACTTAAAGTCCTGGAATATGAGATTCCTCCAATCATACATAGCCTTTGGTAATAGCACCATTCTTTGGTGATCATATCTCAGTTTTTTAATTCTGTCCAAAGGTCTAAAGCATTCTCAATAGTTAGATACTGATCTTTGAGACTCTCAGCAAGATGATGGCGAATAATCATTATTGCCATGTATCTATTTCACTCACTTGCATTATTGTCCTCGATGATACATTCACCAAGGCTCTTTGATTTCAGGACAATATTTGTGTCTAATGCCCATTGTAAATAATTATTTTATGGCTGTAAAATCCAAATTATTGATTTTCGACATCTGAAATCATATATCCCTCAATTTTAGGTCTCATAGAAAATAAAATTCATGCGTCCATATTAACATGTAAACATTGTAACCCTGACGCAATTTCTATATGTAAACAAGCCACGGTGATATAATTCAAACAAGCCTAGCATACGATCAATGTCTATATTTTTTCATGCTGCCAAGGTGGTACATGATGCAAGTCAATCTTAGCATTAGATGCTCTAAAAATTTACATATGAATGATGCAAACAAGCCTAGCAGTACGGATTCTAAAATGTACAGGAGTTGACCCATATAATCCCAAAACAATCTTATCAATTTATGCGAAGATTATGAAAAAATCATGTGGCCTTAATCAAGATAATCAACCGGATTCAAAAAGTCAATATTCAATTTAGTGTTCAGTATCGATTTCAATCATGAGACTAGCAATCTGATATATCAATATAGCAAGCAATCTTAAACCTTAAAAACACTCAATTTGGATAAATTAATTAAAGCAATCATTCGAATTAATAATATGCAATGCGCAGATTAGGGTTTTAGGGTTTCAATCATGAAAAACAGTCAATCTAGTAAACAACCCTAGCTCTCAAAACAATCATTCTATAAGATCAATCAATTGAAATATGCGATTAGGATTTAAGGATTCAAAACGGATCTAGCAAACTTAAGGTTTAAGATTTTAGGGTTTTAACATAAGCTGGTCGAGTTTTGATTAAGGCTAATTACGTGTGAGAATTCATAGTCTATCATGCGGTTTCTTATTCTCAAAACATACAATCAGATCAATCAATCAATTTTGATTTTCAAGCATGAACTTAGTAAACCTAGCATCCCGGTTCTATGTGATTAAACAATTTTAAAAGAATCTAACTGATAACCTAGTTTAGAGTTTCTTGATTCCAACAAACGGTTTTGATCTTATAACCTTAGGGTTTCAGAATTCCCTTAACCTCTAGTCGGGTTGAACGGACCACCAATGAGATAAGGATCGACGAATAGGGAAGGTCGAGACTAAAAACGAGTCCACGCGGTTGTGAGCTGGAACGTCTTGAGTACGGGTCGCGAGCTAGCTGAGATCGGCAAATTTAAATGCGGGATGAAGGATTCTCGATCAGAATGAGTAAGGTGAGATTGGCGACTGAAAAAGGATTAGGGTTTCACACCGGCAAAAAGGTTATCGCCGTCAAGGGTTAGGGTTTCGTGGTCGGAACCTTTTAGCTTAGGGTTTTTAGAGTTTCGTGCTGATAACGTGTTGTGAAAGTATGGGGGAATGATTGTGTTGTCTATTGATCATAAAACATAGATGCCCTTATATATGGGATTATAATATAGATAAATGGAAAGAGTACAAATCCTAAACCAACTAGGAAAGAGAAATAGTACAAATCATAATCCCACATGAAAATGGAAAGTGGTTTATGGCAATACACAATATGGTTTATAACATTGAGAACTTAAGATGAAGAACAAGAAAAAGGAAAGAGTGTGGATCCAATATATTTTGTTTGTTAGTCAAAGCTTATATTAAATAAAGTAAAAACATATATTAAATTTAGTTAAGGTAATAGACACTTAAATCTAGATTAATTTAGTTTGTTTGTAACAAGAAGGTGAACTTGGTTAAACTAAACTATCCAAGTAGCAATAACTATCCTATTATGTTAATAAAAATTTAAAACTACTTTTTGAGGGGAGAAAACATTCATTAAGATCTTGAACTTTCAAATTAAAGAAAAAAAAACCCTCCAACTTATATTTGAGCCAAAAAAATCTCCAATTTTCAAATATTGGTCGTTATAACTTTCATATATTTTTGATTCGGCCACTTAAGAAACCCGAATAGTCAACTGTTAAATTTGATTAAAAAATAGACGTATGTTAACTCTTCAAACGAAATTGTTGCAAAAACTGATTAAATATTAATCAAACATTGTTGTTTTGCTTTTAAAAACTCTTAAAACGTCTTTTTCGCGAGCCAGAATCCCAAATTGACTTCATCTTCCTTATTTTTGAGTGACGAAAGATAAGGGCTATTTGGACTCTTATTTCGCGAAATAATGTTTTAATTGTTTAAAGAAGCAAAACTACATCGTTTGGCTATTTTTCAAAACAACATTGTTTAGAAAGTTCACAGTTAACTGTTTTTATAATCAAATTTAATAGTTCACTATTTGGATTTTTTAAAAGGCATAGTCAATCAAATATGAGAGTAAAAATGGCCTATATTTGAAAGTTTAATTTTTTTGGCTTAAACATGAATTGAAGGTTTTATTAGTTTTAATTTGAAAGTTCATGATTTTAGATTTTAATGACACTTTTTTTTTTGATTGTAATAGATTTTAATGACACTTTTTTTTTCTTTTTGATGGTAATATCTACTCTATTAAAATAGTCTCTTTTTTTATCTACTATAAACAAGTTTAGGTAGAACCATTTCATTAATTATTTATTTAATATGACATATTTGATTATCTACATTAATCAATCAAATATATACCAAACATATCTGATTTAAATTTTATTTAAGTTATAATAAAATCAGTTGAGAAAAAATCTAATTAAATCTTACTAAAAATTCAAATATGTTTTTAGAAAATAACACAATATTAATTTCGTAATTAATAATATAATGCTATTATATATTAATTAAATTTTTATTATAAAATAGAAAAAAAGTTATATCATAGTTTTATAATTTCCATATTATAGTCTATATTGTATTAAAACAGAATTACTCTATGAATTAAATAAAAATAGAAAAATTTGGTAAATTAAATTTTTTATTTTTAATATTTTTCATTTAAATACTATAAAATACTTAATATGACATATTTGATTATTAACATTAATCAATAAAATATATACCAAATATGCTGAAAAATTGATTTAAATTTTATTTTTAGTTATACAAAAATCAGTTGAGAATAAATATAACAAAATCTTACTAAAAGTTCAAATATATTTTTTATAAAAAAATAAATAAATATTATATATTCATAATGTTGAATAAAACCTAAACAATAAAATTATAAAGTTACACAATATAATAAAAAAATTAAATATATATTTTAAATGTTGATATTAATATTAAATATAGATTTTAAAAATGAAAAATATATATCCGCACGAACGTGCGGGTCAAATCTTTAGTTTTCTAATTACAATAACTCCACATCAAATCGATGACCTGTTCTTATTTATTCGTGTACTCATTTATCTATTCATGCAATATATTTTTTAGATTAATAATCACATATCTCGAGTTTAAAGAAATATTAATTCAATCCGATAAAGAGTTGTAGCTATGGATCCTCTCTCCGGCATTAATTGTACTCAGGATTCATCTAATCAAAGTTCTAGTATTCTCTCAGTACTTATTTGGTGGCTGAATGCCCCTCTTCAACACTCACTTTTTGACTCTTTTAAATCAAATATTTTGCCTAATGCATGATCTCGATCATTATAAATACCTTTAAGACCTATAAGGTCATCCATAAAACAGAACAAAATTGTTTTAAAATAAAAATAAAAATTGTAACATCGTTCAACAACTAAGATGAAACACTCAAGAACAACATTGCTGGATGTTATCTTCTTTGTTGTCATTTTATGGGAATCAAACTCATCAATGGCATATTCCGAGACCTTCACACAATGCCTGACCACAAACTCCGACCCCAAACATTTCATTTCCCCCGCCTTGTTTATACTCCGGAAACCGCTCCTACTCCTCTGTACTAGAAGCCAATATCCATAACCTCCGCTTAAACACCTCCACAACTCCAAAACCCTTCCTGATAATCGCCGCAACACACGAGTCACACGTTCAAGCCGCGGTTATTTGTGGCAAACGCCACAACCTTCAGATGAAAATTAGAAGCGGCGGCCACGACTACGATGGCTTGTCCTACGTTTCGTATGCTGGCCATCCATTCTTCATCATAGACATGTTTAATCTCCGGACGGTCGATGTTGACCTAGCCAGTAAAACCGCTTGGGTTCAAAGCGGTGCCATTCTCGGAGAGGTTTATTACTATATATGGGAGAAGAGCAAAACGCTAGCTTTTCCCGCTGGAGTTTGTCCGACGGTTGGTGTCGGCGGCCAATAAAAAAGTATGGTCTCACTGTTGATAATACTATCGATGCAAGAATGGTCGACGGTCGACGTCAATGGTATAACCCCTGTTCGTTTCATAACTGTGTGTCTAGCATCAGCGGCAATAAATTAACCGTTCATTACAGCAACTCAACACCGATAATGGTCTAACTCTTTTTCCAGTCGCAGCGGCAATTAAAGCTGAGGGAAAGAGAAGCTGAAATTAATGGCGTCCGGCATTTCATTTTTTTTTGTCTTCGTAATTCATCAGCGGTTATTTCACTTTGGATTCTATTACTTTTTTTTTGTCTTTGTCGCGCTGCTTTTCATTACCGCTGACGCTGCGTCTTGCAGTTATGAAACGAACAGGGGTATAATCAATTTCTGTAGCGCTCCCAGATATATGTAACCTATTATATTACTCCATCTCTTTCTTTTTAATTGTCATTCTAGGTATTTGCACACAGATTAAGAAAACATTTAATTTTACATATTTTCAAGATAAAAACACAATTACTTATACACTTAATCACTTTTCAACCAATAGAAAAATAGAATATCATATAAAATTAATAAATTTTGCCTCGAAACTCTAAAACGACACTTATTTTAAAACGAATTTTTTCTCTAGAATGACAATTAATTCAAAACGGAGAGAGTATATAGTATTACATACACTTAATGTCCTAAAATCAACCAAATTTATTCGGACAAAGTTATTTTGATTGGTCAACATGGTTACAGTTTCTAAATGTTTGTTGATTAGGTTTTCATTTTATATTCAGGAAAATTTTTGGATAGAAAGTTGATGGGAGAGGATCTCTTCTGGGCAATCAACGGAGGAGAAGGAGGAGGAGGAAGCTTCGGCCTTGTTGTAGCCTACAAAATAAAACTCGTCGAAGTTCCTGAAACCGTCACCGTTTTCAGAGTCTCCAGGACATTGGAACAGAACGCAACGGATATCGTTCACCGGTGGCAACATGTTGCTCCAAAGCTTCCTGACGAGATCTTCATCAGAACAACCATGGAAGTTGTAAACGGCACCGTTTCTTCTCAAAAGACTATCAGGGCAACATTCTTAGCTCTATTCATAGGAGATGCATCAACGCTTCTGTCGATACTAAACCGGAGATTACCATAAATGGGTCTGGTCCGGTCTGACTGCATAGAGACAAGCTGGATCCAGTCGGTTCTTTTCTGGACGGATATCCAAGTGGGTACGTCGGAGAAAGTTTTGCTCGAAAGGAATGAAGGCCTAATGTATATCAAGAGGAAATCAGATTGCGTTTTTGAACCGATTTCAAGAACCGGTTTAGAATCAATTTGGAGGAAGATGATCAAACTTGATACTCCGACAGCTATAGCTTTCAATCCATACGGTGGCATGATGGCAAATAGTTCATCGATGGTGACACCGTTCCCGTACAGAGCAGGCAACCTCTGTAAGATTCAGTACGTTACTGATTTGAGAGACGATAAATTAACGAACCGGTATATGGAACTGACGAGAAAGTTGTACCGGTTCATGACTCCTTTCGTTTCCAAGAATCCGAGGCAGTCGTTTTTTAATTATCGGGATATTGAATTGGGAGCCAATTCTCACACAATCAGGAGCTATGTTGAAGGTAAACGTTATGGGGAGAAATATTTCGCCGGAAATTTCGAGAGGTTGGTGGAGATCAAGACCAGAGTTTATAGTGGTAACTTCTTCTGGAACACGAAAATAGTATTCCTGTGAAACCATATTTCGATAGTTAATTAGTGAAACTGCTCTTGTGTAATGATTCATCTGTAAATCTTATATGTTTGTGGTAAAGCAACTGCGGTTTTATATGGCTATTAGATTTTAAAGCAAAGGCGTAAAGTATACCCAGGACGCCTTTTCGCATTAGCAAGTGGAATGATTGAATAGGGTCTGAATAAATTTATTTCTTAAAAAATAAATATATAAGCTAAGATCTAAAATTTTAAATTTTTAGATATACTTCGAAATCTGGATTTATTTTTCCACTTAGGGGTTTTTAAAATTTGACACTATTCAAGAACTTTAATTATCACATGCATGATCTTGTCAAGAAATGCAAAGGTTCTGAGGAGGTAAATTGTATCTTCCCTTGAATTTTGTGGGTACTTAAAGAATAAGATTGCTCACATTTTTCAGAGAAGGGAGTGCTCCACAGTGGATACTGTATCAAAGGTTATTGACTGATGTGAGACAGTGGTTTGAAGCTCATCAAATTTCACCATAAGTGCAGGGCTACAGTAGAAGAGCATATGGAATGAGAGGATGGTGAAATTCTACCAATGACTTTCTTAAATGTAACGTTGGTGTGCTGTGTCTCAGATGAACAAATTTGAGGGAAGGGGGGGGGGATTACATGGTAAGTGATAATTCATAGCTTAGTTGGACAATGGTATTTTGGTTGCAGTGCAAAAATCGTCAAATATATGTGGTTCTCTGATTGCCGATACCGTTATCAAGGCGATGAGATTTTAACTATATGTGAATCGAGGCGTTGCGAAGGAGATAAGTTTCTTGATAGAAGAAGAGAGGATGAATCGCGAGGATGAATCGCTAATTGAATACGTGATTGTTTTTTTTCTTGGTTCGATGGATATGCCAGAAGGTATAAATGAGCTATGTGCAGTGATCTGCTCTGTTTATGGTTCTGGTTGATGTTTGTTGGTTTTTCTCGAACTCACTGTTACTTTTCTCTTTTAGAAGAATTCAATTCAATGAAAAAAAGAAAGAAGTTGTTATTACTTCAAAACTACATCATTACTTTGTTATATAAACATCAAACATTAAATTAAAGAAAAATATTCTCAACAGAGAAGCATGCCACATAAAATTAAAAAAAATTAATCTATCATAAATTTTCTATCCATCATGTCATTGTTTTTCTTTCGAAATGAAAATAGTGACTTTTTTGTTGGGCTTCATCTATTTGTAGTGACCCAAATTGGAACCCTAGCATACGATTAAAGCATCGATTAAGCGACTATGTCTCTCCCACTTCCTCTTCTCCGTTTCATCTTCATGAAATCTCTGTTACCATTCTCTTAACAATCAATTTTCTTCATTACTTCCACATTTTTCACACCCCTTTGTTTCTCCATCTTTATAAAACCCTTCGGCTATACTTTAATTCATAGCTTCCAATCAATAGTTGTTCTATACACAATTTATGTATGTCAATTGTGAAGAGGCTCTGTTTTTTTTTCCAGTTTGCTTACATGTTGATCAAGGCTCACTGGACAGAAATCATCTTATTTATTTGTCGGTGCACCAGTGCTCAAGTTGAATTCAAAGTTGGTCGTAACACTTTTCCCCTTTTATTTTATTGGCTGCTATCAACATGGGTTCATTGATTCTTTTCATATGATCGATCCATGGTTAGTATCAACTGCTTTTTCCATCTCAGAATCCTAACACCTACTATTGTGAAGCTTCTTTTAAATCTACACCAAATCATGTGATTTTTTGTCGTTGCTTGTAGGTCATGACTCTTTCAAGTGATTTCACCGGAGTGTATACAGAGTGAGATATTAGGACTTCTCCCTTAAAATACTTAAATCTAGCCCTGTTTTTTTTTTTTGTTTTTTCTTTCTTGTGAAGTACTGATTTGATTTTTTATTCTTAGCAGTAGAATATGATCAGTCCATCATATAACTTGGATTCAAAGAGATCATATATGCTTTTCAGTTTTTCAGGTTATTATAAAAAAAGGCCTTCAAGGAATAACAATGTACAGAATTTATTGATGTATGTCTTTGGGATGGCTTTTGGTGTTGTTGCAATAGTACTTCAAGATTTCGATGTCATCGCAAATAATTAAAGACAAACTCATGTTCTTATTTGTGTCCATATTCGGTAACCAATTCCTTAAAGCTTCGTATAAATTTATTCAAAAGACTTCCACTTATTTATAGTGTTAGTATCAAAGAGCAAAAATTGTCAAATAAGTGTGGTTCTCTGATTGTCGATACCGTTCTCAAGGCGATGAGATTTCAACTATGTGTAGATCAAGGCGTTATGAAGGATATGAGTTCCTTGATAGAAGAATAGAGGGTGAATTGCTAATTGCAGACGTGATTGTTTTTTTCTTGGTTCGGTGGATATGCCAGAAGGTATAAATGAGCTATGTGCAGTGATCTGCTCTGTTTATGGTTCTGGTTGATGTTTGTTGGTTTTTCTCGAACTCACTGTTACTTTTCTCTTTTGGAAGAATTCAATTCAATGAAAGAAAGAAAGAAGTTGTTATTACTTCAAAACTACATCATTACTTTGTTATATAAACATCAAACATTAAATTAAAGAAAAATATTCTCAACAGAGAAGCATGCCACATAAAATTAAAAAAAAATTAATCTATCATAAAATTTCTATCCATCATGTCATTGTTTTTCTTTCGAAATGAAAATAGTGACTTTTTTTGTTGGGCTTCATCTATTTGTAGTGACCCAAATTGGAACCCTAGCATACGATTAAAGCATCGATTAAGCGACTATGTCTCTCCCACTTCCTCTTCTCCGTTTCATCTTCATGAAATCTCTGTTACCATTCTCTTAACAATCAATTTTCTTCATTACTTCCACATTTTTCACACCCCTTTGTTTCTCCATCTTTATAAAACCCTTCGGCTATACTTTAATTCACCCAAAAACGGTAACCTCCATTGAATAACCTGAATCTATGGCAATGAAGCTTAGCAGGAAGTCTCCCCTCCAACGGAAACTCTCTCGTTGCTTTTATTACCGCCGATCGGTGCAGGAATGGTCATCTTCTGAATAACAAGATGAGACCTTCAATGATTCGGAGCTGGAGCTCGATGGTGACATTGGAGATAACGATGGAAATAAGGGGATAGTGAGATTCGTCTTGTTAGCCAAATGGATTTCATAGCTTCCAATCAATAGTTGTTCTATACACAATTTATGTATGTCAATTGTGAAGAGGCTCTGTTTTTTTTTTCCATTTTCTGACCTGTTGATCAAGGCTCACTGGACAGGAATCATCCTATTGAGTTGTTGGTAACCCAGTGCTAAAGTTGAATTCAAAGTTGGTCCTAACACTTTTCCCCTTTTATTTTATTGGCTTCTATCAACATGGGTTCATTGATTATTTTCGTATGATCGATCCATGGTTAGTCTCAACTGCGTTTTCCATCTCAGAATCCTAACACCTGCTATTGTGAAGCTTCTTTAACATCTACACCAAATCATGTGATTTTTTGTCGTTCCTTGTAGGTCATGGCTCTTTCAAGTGATTTCACCGGAGTATATACAGAGTGAGATATTAGGACTTCTCCCTTAAAATACTCAAATCTAGCCTTGTTTTTTTTGTTTCTTTCTTTCTTGTGAAAAAAACTGATTTGATTTGTTATTCTTAGCAGTAGAATATGATCAGTCCATCACATAACTTGGATTCATAGAGATCATATATGCTTTTCAGCTTTCCAGGTTATTATAAAAAGAGGCCTTCAAGGAATAACATTGTATAGAACTTATTGATGTATGTCTTTGGGATGGCTTTTGGTGTTGTTGCAAAAGTACTTCAAGATTTCGATGTCATCGCAAATAATTAAAGACAAAACTCATCATCTTACTTGTGTCCATATTCAGTAACCAATTCCCTCAAATTTCATATAAATTAATTCAAGAAATTTCCACTTATTTATAGTGTTAGTATCTGTTGGGGTCAAAATCGGTACGACGGAATCAATAGCCAAAATTCCCCGCAAACGCGTAAACGCAACAGTTTTATGAATCTCGAGAATCATTTTATAAAACTAGAAGATCGTTTTATAAGAACTCGAAGATCGTTTTATAAAACTCGAGAGATCGTTTTATAAAACTCGAGAGATCATTTTATAAAACTCGAGAGATCG